TGTTGATAAGGCTTCCAAATTAAAATAAATTTGTCTGACAAAGCAGCAGCTCTCATTTACAGTYGTCTCATTCGGCTCAGTGCTTCTCTACTCTCAGTAGGGTTGTTTACAGCACGCGTGATTTCCAGTTAGCTTCTTAGCTTAGCCTCAGTCACAGCGACATACGTCGCAGCCAACTGATYCAATCATTTTAAACTTCAGCAGAGGCCACGCCTCCTGCAAGAAATCGATTCTCTTTGCATCAAGTCCAGACTCTTGTTTGAAGCAAAGTGAAGGACAGGGTCTGGTTTAAACCAGGCTAGAGGCAGCCAGGCAGGGGAGCAAAAACGGCTGGTTGGGCCTAGAATCACCTTTTGGGATCAGCTCCTCTTCTGGGCTGACCCCTACGCATTCCCGCTCCGCTCCGGTCCAACCTCCACAGCAAATACGCACCCATWATAATCAATGAGAGTGTTTACACTGGCTGCGCATGGCGGCAGTCAGCGGCGGTGAGCCGACAGCGGTCCATCAAAATTAGAACAGATCCTATTTTTGCCGGACGCCGGAGCTGCGCCGGAGTCAATTTTTAAAGATTACATYGCACCAACAGGAAAAGAAACGAGCACAACATCCGTATTTTGAGAATAAGACACTTTTCGGCTGGATAATTTGTCGGAATAATGTCGAAATTGCAGCTATATTGATAAATATAAGGATATACAGTATTTCTACACAAATGCTATCAGAATGTATCGTTCTGTTTGGGAAGCAGATGGAAACGTAGCATGAAGCATATGTGTACACACATGATACAGGTGGATTTTGTTTTGAAATCAGAAGTTTCAGAAAGCCGACAGCGAGACAGTTTCAAACATAGATACCAAAAACCTTTATATCAGTTTTCAGCTGTGTTTGAAGTTTGTCTTTCACAAAATGAATTATTTTTTGCTGTGACTTCCACACTTATCACTGAATTTATYGCCCAATCTCCTTCCTGCACATCTGTTGGACCGGAGCAGAGCGGAGGCTGTATAAATTGRGACACAAACGAACAGCTGCGAACTGCGCTGCACAGCGCAGCGCAGCGGAGCAGAGACGCATGTAGTATAAAATAAATCCGGGGTGAGTCTCCAAGCCAAGCTCAACAAGTGAGGGTGGCCAGGAAGGGTTATGACTGAAACTTTTACATGACTAATGAAAATCTTTCCCAACATCTTGAACAGCACCTGTCAATCACCAGGGGGCACAACAAGTGAGGATGCCCGGGAGAGGCTATGCCCACCCCAAAAATTTGGTGGCCCCACCAGTTATCTTTGCTTTGTGCTCATTTTAATTGCCTCTAACTATTTAGAATTAGTAAAA